ACCCAGTACTGCTTCAACCTCATCAACTTCCTGTTTTATGGGCCGTCTATTTATGTCTCAGCCAAGGACTTCATGCTCGTCGGCTCCACCTGGCCGTCGGGCGTGTCCGCGCGCAACCTGGCGCATTGGTGAGCGCCCCCCGCGCCGCCCCCTCCCCCCGCGCCGCCGGCACAAGGCAGGTGCAGCCGCGCCTCGCGCGCCACGCGGCCCCCGGCGCGAGCGGCCGCGTCGCTCTCGCTCGCCGGACCCTGGCTGCAGGAGGCTGGCCTTACCACAACCGTTTGCAACCGCCCCTACCGCCGGCGGCCGCCTGAGCCGCCGACGAGCGGCCCCAACACCAGCTCCATTCATCGCTCCGGCCGCCGCCCCGACAAGCGTTCCAATCGCCCTCAACCGCCGCCCCAACCGCCGCCCCAACCGCCGCAGGTCCCAGATGTTCCACACCGCCAACGGCATCCTGATGTACGACTTTGGCCAGAACTGCTCTGAGAGCTGGACCCAGCAGCCGTTCCAGGAGAGCTGCAACCAGGCCAAGTACGGCTTTGACACGCCACTGCAGTACGATCTGAGAAAGGTGTCGGCGCCCGCGGCGCTGTTTGAGGGTGAGTGGTGGGGGTGCGGAGGGGGAATGCGAGGAGGCAGGGGCGCAGGCGAGCAGGTAGGCGCCGGGCGGGGCGTGGGCAAGGGCCGGGCATGCGCGCGGGCGTGGGGAGAGGGCGGCATGTGCGTGTCGCCGCTGTCCGCGCCAGACGGTGCGCGCCGCTTTGCGCCTGCTATGCCGGCGCCGCCGTCCCGTGCCCAGCCCACCAGGCCCGCCAGGTCCCTTGGTTTCAAACCCGTCCGCGACACCGTGCGCACGCTGCCCGATCCTGGCCTCCTGCTTGCGCACCCCCCTGTCGTCTCTCCATCCCTGCCGCCCCCTCTTTTTTGTCCCCCTCCCAAAAGCAAGCACACACGCACACGTGTCTACACATTCGCGGACACACAACCACACGCACACGCAACCAAACACACGCGCCCTGGACTCACGCACACATAACACTTACACATGCACACAAACGCAATGAATAAACACACATTACGACGCACAAACTTGCGTCACACACACACACATCCAATCATACACACACACTCTCTCTCACCCCAGCCCACAAGCTTGTGCGCGCCCCCATGCGCCTCCCCCCCCCCCTCCCCCAGGTACCGATGACCTCATGGCCACCCAGCCCGACTCTAAGGTGCTGCAGGCCACCTGGAACTCCACAGTGCTCTTCAAGAAGATCTACCCCAAGGTCGCCCACATGGACTTTGTCTGGTGAGGGCGCCGGCCACCAGCGGGCGCCACGCGCCGCGCTCGGCGCACCGCGCTTGGTGGCGTGGGGCGCTGCTGCTCAGCTCCGCGGCTGGCGGCCCCGCCTGTGCGCGGTCGGGGCTGCGGGGGCCGCCGCGTTTCGTGGGGCTGCGCGGCGCACGGTTGCCTTCCTCAAGCCGTCCAGAGGGCGGCGGGGCTGCCGCCCACGGTCACGCCAAAGTGAATCATCAGCTTGTACCGCCCACCCGTCTTGCCCACCCACCCGCCCGCCCACCAGCCCACCCCCTCCCCCTCCTCACGACCACCCTGCAGGGCGCGGAGGCCCGTGATGAAGCAGGACATCATCAACACGCTCTGGGGGGCGGCGGACAAGGTCGTGTGATGTCATGGTTGTGTCATCACGACGGCGCGCGCGCCACGCCCGGCGTTCGCAGGCCCAGGCCTTGCGCCTCCGCCCTCACGGCCCTGGCCCGGGCGCGCCGGACAGGGACGGGGGTTGGCACGGCGGGACATGCGGGCGCTTGCACCGCCGCGTTTGGCCCACGCCGAGCCCGGGGCCCCTGGCGCGGGGCTCTGTCGGCTCGGAGCGGCGCCCGTGCGGCAGCACCGCGGCCGGGCACGCCGCCGCGCGGCGCGCCCGCTTTTGTGTCCTTCGCCGTGGCACGCGCCGCGATTCCTTTCGTCGCGCGCTGTTCGTTTGTACGCGCGTGCCTGCCTCTTCCTGTGACCCGGTCCCTATTAAGCACCGCGCCCTGTTGCACAATGCGCCACCGCCGCACCTCGCGCGGGCGTGCAGGAGCTGGCATTACAGCGCCCGAGCGTCCGCAGGGGCCCTCCTGGGGGCCGCCACAGGGACAGCCCAGCCCGAGAGCCACGGCCCGGCCCGAGAGCCGCCGCCCGCGTTGCCGGAACGATTTCGGGAACGATTGCGGGGACCGCCGTCGCAGCCGGCTGCGAGCGGCCGTGTTTTTTGCTGCCAGGCTCTCGTTGTGCGGAGCGCGGCCCGCGGCCCCCTCGTGGGCCCTTCACGAAAAACTGTCCCCCGCAAAGTGATGAGATGCGACGCATTGCTCACTCAACGCACGCACAGCACGCACCAGCCGGCAAGCTCTGTCAAGGACGTGCGGCCGACTGGCCGCGTCTTCCCCTGCCGGCGGGCGGTGCCGCGGCAGGGCGCAGCGCAATGAACTTGACCTGTCAGCTGAACGAACTTGCGCTGCCCATGCCTGAGTCCTATCCAAAAGGAATGGCTGCGGTCGTGGCGTGCCACTTTGATTGTTATCCCCAACATTATCTATCTTGCTGCGCGTGTTTATGAATTAGTATCGCTGTAATGACAACGGTGATTAGTGTCACCCAGCTGCAGGCGTACAAACAGGGGTTATGGATGCTGCTGCTCTGAGGCAGAGGCGGCAGGCCTGCCTGTGACGCAGCATGACGTCATCCTGACGCCTGGCTGTCGCCCCGACGCGAGTCGCAGCCGGCCAGTGCATGTGCACGCGCGCAGGGCAACGACGAAGCTGTGCGCTGTGGGGCAGCGACGGGTCGTCTGCACACTGGCGGGGCTGCGTGGTGCCTCCGAATGTGCAAATACACCTTCCATGGAGGCACCTGGCCAGGTGCCCCTCGGACCAGCGCACGCGCATACGGGAAACCTGGGGTGCGCCGCGCCACGGGTAGTGCAGAGTAACCGCGCGTGTGCTGGCACCTGTGGGCCTGCTGGTGAGTGAGGGTGCAGCTGAGTGGTGGCAAGTTGGCGGCAGACGGTGTTCTAAGCAGACATGCAGGGGCGGGGCCCGACGGCGGACCTGGCTGCCACGTCGCAGACGCGATGGAGGAGTGGGGCATCGACGCCACGCGTGCTGAGCGGTTGAATCACAGCCGGTTCAAGCGCTTGCTGTGCAGAACCCTGCCATGTGTATTGGAGTGCCGGCTTGTCAAGGAGCGTGCTCAAAAGCCTGCCTTGGACGCATACATGTCTCGTTCTGGTGATGGACCTGTGGCATTCGACCATGCCAAGGCCTACCTAACAGGTGCCGGAGCATGCAGCCGTGGTAACGAGCTCGTCCTCCAACTGCGCACTGGCTCTCTCCCCCTTGCCTCGCACACAGGGAAGTTCAGCCGTAGCTGGCGATAGGACCCCTCTGATATTTCTCACTATTGCTGCCCTGTCTGCTCAACTGGAATTGAGTCAGTGTCTCATGTTCTATTGGACTACCCCAAGCACGAATCAGTGCGTGGAGAGCTGTGGCTTGGACTGGAGGACGAGATGGCGCCTGAATGTTGGCATATGTTGCAGCAGATGCAGATTGAGGAGAAAGCTTGCAAATTGCTTGACTTTGATCTCCTTGGTGGCTCTGTGCTTGCTGATATTGTTCCCCCTATGTGTATGCTTGATGGCAGATCCGTTGGAAGGTTAATAATGAGGAGGTCCGCTCTGATGAGCGCATGGCCGTTGGCAGTGATGCTATGGCATGAGTAACTTGTATATCTATCTATCATACAGCGAGAGAAACATTTGGGGCTTGGGGGTTACACGCAGATTCATGAGTCATCTAGGCGGCCTGCAAGGGGGGGCATTTTAGGGGGGGAGGCACGCGCTTGCAAGGGCGCAGCAGCCTGCGAGTGGAGGCGGCGGCGCCACCAAAGCCCGCCGGCGCTCGCACGTCGGCCGCGGGGCGCGGTGGCAGCGGGCGCCATCGCGTCCCCATAGGACGGCGCATCGGGCGGGCGCGTTTCCCTGACACTTGGGACGGGCAGCAGGGGCGCGTCTGCGCGTCATGGAGGGAACAAACGCACCGCGCATTGGCTTGTGGTCACGAGTTTGCTGCGGACGGCTTTCGGCGGTGGCTGCTCAAGTGGCTGCTCTCCTGACGCTCTGTTGTTGTCTGCCGCACTACTGACCGGCCGTCGGCCAAAAAACCAGGGGGACAGCCACCGTCATACGGGGCGACGACGTGCATCATCCCGCCGTGCTGGGCGCACCGCCTGCGCGCTGGTCACTTTGGGACTGCCTGGGCGGAGCTGCGGGCCACCACCGGGTACAGTCAGCAAGCAGGGTCAACTGCCAGTGGTGACATCATGATCAGCCAGCACAAGGGGCGCGCGGCTGCTCGAAGTTACATATATACCGTATGCATGATGACACACGCGTGCTTAAGCAGTCGACGCGTCAGACGCGAGCGCACGCCGCCCGCCAGGAGAGTGCGCAGCGGGCGCCGCCTCCTGCAAACACAGGCCGGCGGCGGCGCGGCCGCTGGGCGTGAGGTGAGGCCACTGTGCCTCACGATGCACCCCCAACGGGAGCGGTCACCACACCGCCAAAGTACTGTGATGTCATCAAAGCCTCAAACTGATGGGCATGTATATAAAATTGCGATTCCGGCTTCAGCTTCGTCGTTGGCGCTGGATGGACCCTCTAGTCTACAGCCGTCCCCCAAAAGTAAGAGCAGCGAGACCTGCATGCAAGCGACCACCGGGCACTGGCCCGACGGCGCCGCGCACGCACGGTCGTGCACGCGCC